AGCGGAGGCTGCCCCTGCTCCCGGGGCCTTTCACGTGCCAGGCCCAGTTCTAGGGAGCTGCACCGTTAACTGAGAGGCGGCCTTTCCCGGGGAAACACAGTATCTGTTGCTAATGTGGATGAGAGTTAGCTTTGAGGGTTTGGCTTGATTTCTGTTCCACCCATAAACATGACCAGCTAACAGGAGGTCTCGGTCGTGGGCAGTGGAAATGCCCTTTGATCCTAGAGCCCATGCCTTTTAAGAGAACTTGGGGAAGCCACCATCGAGTTTGTTCTCTTCTGGAGTAATGGGTTGCATCACTGTGAGCACTTGGGTAGAAGGGAACAGAGGAGTATTTTACGGAAATATGGCAAAGATTGACTTGACAGTTCCCGACAACAGAGTAACTGGCTGATGGCCAGAAAGACCTAATTTTGAGCAGAAGGAAGACTGTGTCCAGAGCGGGGGAGGAAATCCCACTCTGGGGCGTTGAGGGTTGTGTGGTTGGATTGGATCCCGGGGGAGAAAGGTCCCGAGCGTGGGGGAAGAGAAGGATTGGGTCAGAAAGTGCCACATTCACCGTTTCCACAGAGGCCAGCAGGGAGGAAATGTGTGAAAACTGAGAGATGGGGGAAAAGTTACAATTTCTCAGGCATGAAAAAAGGAGGGAAAGGGATTTTTACCCCCAAGGTCCTACCTCGACAGAAGCAGGTGATCAGATAACAGAGGTGGAAGTTTAAGAGCCAGGCCCGGGTACCCCCTTTTAAGCTCTAGAAAGTGACTCAGAGTGGAGCAGACCTGAGCAAGGAGTGTGCCCCACATCCTCCGACCCACCATCCTAGCCTGTGAGTGGTGGGCCACGGCGATCGCGCTCCCTCCAGTCCCCTCCCAGGCTGCTGCCATGATCAGATGAGGCATGTGGCGATGCCCTTGCACCAGGCCCTGGCGCTTAAGTGGTCTTTCCCACCTCTCAGGTATGATCCAGGCCCTGGGGGGCTTCTTCACTTACTTTGTGATTCTGGCCGAGAACGGCTTCCTCCCAATTCACCTGCTGGGCATCCGAGTGGACTGGGATGACCGCTGGGTCAACGACGTGGAGGACAGCTACGGGCAGCAGTGGGTGAGTGAGGGCCTCCCGCCTGACCAGTGCCGGACGGGACTCCTCCAGCCCCGGGGATGGCTGGCAAAGAGCCAGGCTCACCTGTCTGCCTTGTGCATTTCAGACCTACGAGCAGAGGAAAATCGTGGAGTTCACCTGCCACACGGCCTTCTTCGTCAGTATCGTGGTGGTGCAGTGGGCCGACCTGGTCATCTGCAAGACCAGGAGGAACTCGGTCTTCCAGCAGGGAATGAAGTGAGTAGGCTCAGCCAGGGGTCCTGGCTCGCAGAAGGGGTCAGGTGATGTCAAAGCCTTTTGCAAAAAACCCAGCACCTAACACAAGGCAGAGTTTCTGGAATCTTGTTTTGAGAGCACATGTAGGAAGCAAAATGTAATTTTCTAGGCTTTTTCCTCTGACCCCAAGTACCTGAGTTCAGTAGTAATACATAAAGACGCTAACCTGCCGTGCAACATGCAACTTTAGAAGATACACTTCTGTTTGCATTTTTAAACTTTCCCCCCAACCTTGTTTTTAGGAACAAGATCTTAATATTTGGCCTCTTCGAAGAAACGGCCCTGGCTGCCTTCCTTTCCTACTGCCCTGGAATGGGGGTGGCCCTGAGGATGTATCCCCTCAAGTAAGTCGTCTTCTAGCTCCAGAAAGTGTGAAACAGCCAATGTGGCTTTTCCTCTCTGACACGCATTAGTAACCGTTACTCTCAGAACCTTTGGGTGATGTGTACAGGAGGAGTTCCTCTGTCCTGGAAAGTGAGGAAATGCTGACTCATTGGTAGCACAGGCCAGCGAATCTAGCGCTTAAGATTCGGCCTCAGTGTGGCCA